ATTAACATAAAATAAAAGCGAAAGTTAAATCTGAGTTGATAAAGTAGTGCGCAAATCTTCTGATCGTGACCTCTTCTTTCTCAAACCGACAGGCCTTCTGACGTTCTGCGCTCGTTTCTATAAATGTTAGAATATAATTTTAATCATACAATACCAACCTTAGCTTTTTCGCGGTTTTCTTTCTGTTTTCTGACAGCAAATTCGATCAATGCCGTGCACATAGACAATACCATGCCCGCCATCAATATGTAAAAGATTCCAGCAACTTTGGATAGGTTAAGGGAAGAGCTATTACCACTATCCTATAACAACGATACAATACAGTATGACATTTGAAATTCATCATTCTAACTGATTTCCCATGATCACATTGTCCTCTATCATACCACCACTTGTTTTCTAAACGTTTCAGTTCTCCTTTCTCTTGGAGATAGAGAATTGCCAAATTCAGGGATCCCCTTAAAACATTTATACATTGCATAATGCTATGTTTGTTTAGAAGAGACCGTAATGGATTTCCTAGTTTCGTCGCTATTCCATATCCAAGAGTGTTCAAGTTTTGGCCAACCTTCATGGTGTTACAAGGTTTTCTACCACTTTCATAGTTGTTTGTTGTTTCTTCCAGTAAGAATGCATAGGCTCCCTAGAAGATGAGCTTCAAGACCATTTTTACTACTGCTTCTTACCTTGCTATTCCTGACTCTCTCTATTCCTTGTGCATATGTGTCGACGAATACTGTTTCGGATCTGAAGTCGGCATTCGCAACAACCATGTTTCTCTAACATACCCATTCAAGTTTCTTTGCGCCTTCACTTGCTGGTTATAAGTGTCTTGCATGAAGTTCCACATCTTCTTATATAAAGGTACAGTAGAATCCTGAATGAATTATGTTGTTTCTTTACTTGTTCAAGCAAACCTCAAAGAATGCACTAGTAGATCCTCCTTTCACTGTTCCGTATAAAATTTTGTTTTGATTAGCTAAGTCCTCTACCGACTCTATTGGAGGAGTCATTTTCTCTGAAAGATGATAATGAATAGAAAACCCAATTCACGACTTAACCTAGTGTCAAGAAAGCAGCAAGATTAGCAGTGTATGAAGATACAATAATGAGAGTGAAAAACCACCAAACTGAAGAAGCTATGCGTCCAGAAGGTGCTCTGCGAATACAGTTATCTATATTCTGATTATCAGGTCAAACCTGGGAAGTATGTCGGTTCCCTGTTGCATGAACGCTGCCAATGTAAACCATAACGAGTTGTACATTGAGAATTCATTAGTCACTTGGAATTCTCCTCTTCGGAATTGAATTCTTTTCTCATATGGAGAGAAAGCGGACACCAGAAAAATTGTTAGAGAAACCTAGAGAAATAGAGAATGAATCTCCATTGAAGAATAAGACTCAACCCCAACGTAGGAGCACAGTGTGAAAATCCAAATGCGCATACCGAGCGGTTCCATGAATGAGAATATGTTGAACTCTTGCTTTTCAGGTTTCTGTATCATTATTGATATACCTGTAGACGTATACGAATGATTTCCTCTTTCCCCGATTCCTTTAATACCTGTCGTCATGAATGGTTTCGAGAAATCAACTGCTCTTTCTCGTTCTTGAGTGATAGTAAGAGGAGCAACCGCAATATCAGCTGTCTTGAAAGATTTAATTATGCAAATTAAAAACTCGTCCGTACTTCATTGAGCAGATACCCAATCATACCATCCCAACTACCATCAGCTTGTCTGGCCCCGTATCTAAAGGTTATGAGTTATTCAGAGCATTTAAATATGACCACAACTTGTTTCCTTCCGATATGAATATATCATATTCAAATCCAGTAATGTTTTTTGCCAAAAGCGCCAGAAGGTCTACGCAATACCCTTCAAACCTGTCTATACCAGTCAGCTCAGGCTCTCCAGGGTTTACTCTTTTCAACATTACAAATGGCTTCACCTGTGTTAATAGGTTCCTTGAATAGATGTATTGAAGAAACCAACCAGTACAGTTACTACTGTCAATTTCAACTTCCATGGCTTGTTTTGTAAAATACCTTTTCTAGTAACCGTCCTATTGGGTTTCTTTTCCAAAACTCTACTTTCTCCGCCAAGAAGAAATCCTTTCCCTTGAACCCAATGAAATCTCTGTAAATAGTTCAACTAGATGGATTATCACATGAATGCGTAAGTAATTTCGCTAAGAAATTACAATTTCCCATTGTCATTCCATATACAATTGACTTGAAAACGTTTGAATTGACTTAACAAACCTCTTGAATACTATTTAAGCTGTTAACGCCAGGTTTTATCTCGATTACAGTCGCCGAAAAATTGGTTCTCCATCCAGTTTGAGCGTGAAATTGAATACGTCCTGTCAAAGTTCCTTCCTCTTCGGTCAGAACCACCTATTGCAGATGAATGTACAGAGTATTGTCTGGTGAAGCTACCTGTTTCATTGCTTCCGCAATCTTATTGCCATATTCGAAAGGTTCGAACACTCTGTCATTGGATTGTGAATCTTCATATGGCCGACAATACAATCCTGGCTTTCCTCGATTGTATAATTGATGCTTAGCAAAACTTCTATAATTCAATAATATTTCTATTACATAGTTGCTGTACTACTGATAGAATAAGTCTCTTCCATTAATTTCCATGGCTTTATCCAGCGCAGCAGCTGCAACCAGTAGTGCGTCATGAGCAAAAGCGCTACTAGCCTACAAGAAAAGGAATTTTGATGAATGAAAGGTTGAAACAATTCAATTAACTGGTATGAAATCATTCAATAAATGTCGTTCGCCATAAATATCCTCAAATATTTGACGATTACGTCTGAATCATCGTTTTATTAGGAAGACTAATCAACTGGAACGTACACGAATCTTCTATTGGTTCGATCAAACAGCTGGAACCCAGTAATATTGATAAGTGAATAATGAAAAGAAGAAAGATCACTGTCTTCCATTTCCTTTGAATAAGAATATGTAACTGCATTGAACAAGATGAAACATACAAAGTTGGCGAATACATAGTGATATTCCTTTTTGACCAAAATGCTTTCCTCTAAAGCTCGCAAGAACAGTCTCATTCGAAAACTCCCCTCCAAATCCACAATTACATTAATAGGCCTGAAACATCTTCATCAACATCAACATCACATCTTCTATTCTCGAAATGTGGTTGATTCTGACTTTATTGGCTCGTCGTGCATCTCCTCTGATGCGTTTGAACGCTGAATATCGTTTATAGACAGTCGTCTATGCAGATCATTGAGGAACTCCCGGAAAAACTCTTCATCATCAGGCACCTAGAAAACTTTGGATCCTAACCAAACAGAATCAATTTAACCTGATAATTGTCAACTAGTAACTCGTATGCAGGAGATTTTTCGTTTAAATATTCGAAAATTCCATGAAGAGTTCGTTCAGCTCGAAATGATATTATGAGAAGGTTAGTCGTTCATATCCTACCATTAGTGCCGTCATGGATGTATATTATGCGATGCCATTCTTTGTATTGAATATAATCTACCAAAAGTTGATCAACTGGTGGACGGACCGAGAATGTCATTGGGGATTTAGAAGCATCCATCGATCGCACGTTAGAGACTACCCAATCTACTAAAGGTACCTAAAAGTGAAACTCTTACAAGTAGTTGACTTCGAAATATACGTTCATAGAGTCAGCTATTGATTGATAAACTCCAAAATTGTATGTATGAGTTCCTGCCAGCATTATCATGAATCCAAGTTTCATCTCGTCGCAAACTGTGACACATAGTCTTGTTTCAAAGAAGGTTCACTGACTTATTCTGTTCAAGTTCCAAGCCATGGCGTTCCTCTCCATAGGAGGAAGATCCCTAGTACCAAGAAGAACATCAAAATCGACAGACTCCCATGAATTGAAAGTGAACTCTGCCATCCGTAACATCTGATCAAATCATTATCCAATATTGATGTTCTCTAACACTTACTTCAATAGTGGCAAGAGCTGTGGCATTATCAGTGTCCGAAAAATCAACAAAAGCACCTGTTAAAGAAGATTATAGCAAGAGAAAACACAGATATGTTTAATCAACAAAAAAACTATAAGGAACTAGTGGATTTGATTCGCTGACCTCATGGTTAGAGGCCAAGCATGCTTCCACTACGCCACGCTGCAGAATTTTTCACAATTCATTTGCTATATATGCATTCGAGGAAGAAAAAGAGGAATTGAAGAGATAGGAAAACTTACGAAGAGGTATTTTCTTTGTGGCCCAGGTTGTTAATATCTTAGTGAGTAGAATAATAAGAAAATTATAAAGCATCATGGAGGAAGTGGAGAGTAAGTCAATACTCTAAATTGAAAGAATTACTAGACTCGACCTAGTGCTTTTGGCTAACTCACAGGAAAAGAACGTCGAAAGCAATTTGGTCCGGAATTTGAGTAGAAAATGGATGAGCAACCCTAGAGAGGTCTCACTCTCTTCTTAGCTTTCTTCTTCATCTCCATTTTGGGTAATAGAAGGAGCAGATGATACACTATGCCTTACAACTAACCGAGCATGGAACGAGTCTAAAACGCCATAGCTGCCAAAAAGAAATTGACTGTTAGAGAGTATTGATTGATTGATTACGAAATCCTCATAACATAATCCCCTTTCTTCATAACTTCAGTGAACACTTTCATTTTCATTTTCGTTCATCTTAACTACCTCTCCTTTACTTCTAATGTCTACAGAAAGAAAAAATGAGAAGTTCAAGGGAACCGGTTGAGGCAGAAAAGTCATAGAAGAGTTCTATATGGCAGTAGTTGCTTCATCATGAACAGTTTTCATAAGATTGACGTCATCATAATTTGGCTCCTACTCATGCATCATAACCCGTTTCCGGCAACTGGTCGTTGATTTACTTTTTTGTTTTTTCTTCTGATTTACGTTATGTGTGCCCAATTTTATTCAACAGATGGTGCTTAAAGCCTAAAATATCCAATTCCTAACACTTCTAGTGCAGATGAAGGACATAACATCCTTTCAATGACTTTTTTCCGTAGCTGGATCGAAACGGTCTGAGGTTGGATAGCAACAGCTTCTTCTCACCTCACACATAATTGTGATGACGGAACATTTAAAAAAATATTCTCTAGCCCTATGGTATTTCAATGGAAGGACAACGAAAAAAATGCAACCCAAAAGATTTCGTCTTCATAGCTATCGTTGGCCTCGCATGTAGCGTCGTCTTAGCTTCTGTTGCTCTTGCGACGACCGGTCCGGGATGTCGCGGTCGCGCGGCCGGAACGCGCGAAGAAACGCCTGGAAGAATGTCTCTGACGCCCTGCATGCTTAGAAGCTATCTCTCAAAAAAAAAAGATGAGAATCTGACGCTAGCGCCGTATGACAAGGCCTGTGTGGTGCTTGGTGAGATAAATAGTAAATAGTTATGATGTTACTGCATATAACTGTTAGGATAAGCATGATAACAAAGTATGTTAACGATTGCGACATAAACGAGAAAACAGCGAAGAAGACTACTGTTACGTCATCATAGCAGCTGTAGATATGGTTTTTCCTTTCTTTTTACGCCTTTTGATTGAAAAGTTAAACTGGTCAATCTGGTACGAACAGTCTGAAAGTAAGTTTAGAGACTAAACAACGAATTGAGTCATATATGGTAACTAGTAAAGGATATGCTGTGAAAGGCAGTCAAAACATGTAA